AGAATGAATCCTTGAGAAGTTAGAATCACATTGGGAGAGGCATGAGGTAAACAGAACATAATTGTAAGGGCTCCTGGGTGGCTCAGTTGGTTGAGCGTCCAACTCTTGGTTTTGGCTCAGGTCATGATCTCAGGGTCGTGAGATCGAGCCCCACTTCGGGCTCCTCAACCTGTGGTGTCTGCTTGAGATTCTCTCCCTCCCTCCCCCCACTCTTACACTCACACTCTCTCTCTCAAATGGGTAAATAAATCTTTTTTTAAAAGAACATAATTGTATAAATATATTAATTTTTCTCTCTAAAGCAGTGGTTTTGAATCTATTCTGTAAGGTTCTGGAGGAAGTCAAGTAGGTTCATTCCAATTTCAACCAGTGCAGTCTTACTTTCATCAATTTTAAGTATGGAAGTTTACATAGGTTTCTTTTGAGAGCAGGGTTCTGTTGTTTAAAAAGTGTGATAACCACTATTGTTAGCATATTTGATCTTATCACTGTTCTACTCAAATCCTTACAGTGGTTGGGTCCTTTTGTTATGATTTTGAAGACTTCTCTTTATCTAGCACCAGCTTCATTCTTCATCTCTTCTCACTCACTCTCTCACTTTCCATGTAAACCCTTCATTCTAGTTCGACTTAAATTGCTTGGTATTCCCTGAGAGGAAAATGTTCACTTACATCTCCATGCCTTTGCACAGGGAGCTGCCGTCATTCTTACCATGCTAGGCAGGATTCTGCTCCCTTGGAATTTGGTCACAGCTCCAAAGAAGCATTTATTTCATTGTTTTGTAACTGTGGGCTCCCTTGAGAACAGAGCCCATCTGATCTTATCTTTGTACTACTTGGTGTTCACTGAGTATTCAAATGCGTGTTAAATAACTGCATTTAGAATTTGAGAAGTCGTAGAATTAGTTTAATGCACACTCATGTGAATAAAACATCCCAGATCTAGTCTGTGCAGAGTATTTTTAATGACGTAGTGTCAGGCTAAGTATGTCAGTGGCACCCAGTTGCACTTATCATGAAGTATAATAAAGCCAAAAGATGAGATTAAGTTCTAGTGTCGTAAATGAAGCATTGTATTGGATTTAGTTATCTAATCCTAAAAGTTGGTTGTGAAAGCATTGTAACAATGATTTTATAAATTTTATAAATTTTACAATGCCTGGGTGGCTCAGTTGGTTAAATGACTGCCTTCGGCTCAGGTCATGATCCTGGAGTCACAGGATCAAATCCCACATCGGACTCCCTGCTCAGCGGGAAGCCTGCTTCTCTGTCTGCCTGCTGCTCCTGTGCTCATTCTCTCTCTGTCAAGTAAATAAAAATCTAAATAAATAAACAAACAAATAAGATTTTATAAATTTTGTACAGTCCTGATTGCCCATAAAGAAATTTCTTCATATGTGACTAAAGCGAATAGATTCAAGACCTTCATATGTCAAAGTATATAATATATTAATGCCCGCTCATAGAGGTTAAAAGTGGGCCCTGGAGCTGCCCTGCCTAAATTCATATCCCTTTCCTGCCTGTCAGTACTGTGTGATCTTCTGCAAGTTACTTAACCATTCTGTGCCTCCTTTTTCTTATCTGTAAAATGAGGAAATTGAGGATACTGCTTTATATAGCTATGATGAAGTATATATGTGAGCTAATGTATGTTGAGCACACGAGGGAACGCCCACCACCCAGAAAACACTCAATAAACGTTAGCTCTACGTGATTTCTAGTGGCTTCTTGTTTAAACAAATGAATGTTGTGCATCACTTAAAAATAATTGCTTTAATATGCAAGTATCTAATTGAAAAGAAAGAACATGTTTAGTTAGCTATGTCTTTCACCTAGCAACTGTTTTATCCCCTTACTGACTCATTCTCTGGTCTCCCAGTGGAGTATAGACTGTTTCTGTCAGATGGATGGACATGGGAGATTTGAAACTATGTTCTCCTGATTTCTGCAGCAGAGCATTGTGTTCCCACGACCTGTGCAATTCTTGGTAGTGCCCACAAGAGAGGAGGGAGAGAGATAACAAGCATAAGAATCCAGCGACAAGTTCTTAAGCCTTAACCTGTACCAAATAAGTCCTAAAGTTTCATACTCCTTTAGTAGAGGCTATGTGTTCAGCTTTTTTCCTTTTTTACATTTTCCTTTACTGTTTTGGCTTGGAATAATAGATTATTTAAAGTCCGAATTTACATTTATTCCAGAAAAGTACATACACATTTACTTTAATTAGTCAGTGAACCTGTTTTTTTCTCATTCTTTACATTTACTTCCTGCAGTGAGGGAAATCAGTAGGATGTCAGTCATTTGTGTCAGTACTGTGTTCTATGAAAATCTTATGTACTATAAAATCCTGTTAAATAGCCCATTTAGGATGCAAAGAAAATGTTAAGGGAAGAAGAAAATTGTATTCCAAGATACTACTTTGTAAAGAGTGGGTTATTCTTATAACAAATAATAGCCAGCTTGTCCTTACAGCCTCCTTTGACTTTCTTTCTTCCGTGTCACAAGACATAATGGGTAACTTTTAAGAACTGTTTCATTAAAGGAAGGAATTTAACAAGCAGTGTTGAGTGTTCACTGCTAACTGTGGGTGACTTGCAGATGAGGAACTGTGGTGTAAAGATAAATCAGGCATTCGTCTTTATATACTGCTTAATGACCGGCTAGCGAGACCAGAGAGTGAAGGGAAGACGTGGGAATGAATGCTGGAATGAGAGTGGGAAAGTGCTGGATTTTGAAGAGAATGAGGAAACAAAGTAAGTGCAAGGACCATTTTTAAAATGCCAGTGGTGTGCAGTGTGACAGTCTGCCATGAGAAATGTGAGTGTTTATACAAATTGATCGATACACTTAGTATCATCCTGTAATCAGAACACTCGTTTAATATTAGCCAATTTTCGCCTAAGTGCCATTGGTGGAACTTTCAAAATATTTTTTGCACCTCCCTGAAAATTATAGCAGGTAGGTCATGCTAAGAAAAACAACTTCAGAATAAATACAATTTTGACTAAGCCTGTTTCCTCTGTACAAACCAGGACACTGTGTTCGTGTTTAATGTTATCTGGCCTTGAAATTTCATTTCCCTTCAACAGCATGCCTTTCTGTTTCTTAGGCCAAACAACTTCTTGTTTTACTTCCTACCTCAGTTCTTGTTCCTCATTGTCACTATTAGTATTAATATTATTATGATGGTGTCATAAAAGAGAAACACTATTTGGGTGTTTTCAGATGCCTCAGATGTGCTGGGTTACGTAGAGGAGTGCGCTAAGGTTTGTATGACTTTGCCAGTCCTGTCTTCCCAGTAGCACCCCCATCCCGTCCCCCGCCCTTCCTTGTTTTAGAAGGTTTCTAATTGTTGGAAAGAACTTCTCATTGGTCTCAGTCTCTTTCCCGTCTAATTTTCACCTACTGATCCTTGCCATTCTAGGGCTATGTATGGGAAACACACAATAAATTCTTACACACCATAAATCTTCAAGTATTTGAAAACGACTATTAAATGCTACTTGAATCATTTTTTTCCCCACAATAAGGGGAAAAAAGCTAATTCTCAAAAGATATGCACATGACATGGTTTACAGAACTTTCTCCATCCACATCACTAACTCATGACAAAGTCTGGTCATCAGTATAGCTCTTCAAATACAGTGGCCAGAACTGAACCAACTGCTTCAGATCTGATCTGACCATGGCTGAATACAATGAAGCTGTTATCTGGATACTGTACTTCTATTAATGCAGGCTGAAATTTGCATTACAGTTTTTGGCAGCCACATTACCCTTTGCTCATATTGAGCTTCTGGTCAACTAAAACCTTGTCTCCTTCTCACGTGGGCTGCTTTAAGTCTAATCTTTCTCATTCTTTATTTGCCAGTTGGATCTTTGAAAGTACATGCAAGATATGAGGTCTTGGCGTTACCATAAAAGTTTAAATGAATTTATCTTTTTCAGATTTCATCCCGTTTGGCTCTGGAGATTTGAGCTAACATTTCTATAAAACAGCACAGTTTTCATGGTGCTTTCACATATATTTTAATTTAATCTTCACAACAACCCCCAAGAATCAGAAGAGAGAATGACTTTCCACGAAATCAAGAATTGGCAGATGTGGGACTATGTCACTGGTTTTTTGATAACAGATCCCACGCCCATCTTCTTATCACTGCTCACTTAGTAAGCATTTAAGCCCTTTACTATGTGGCCAGCACTCTGTGGTGTTGGTGCGTCAGTGAGCCAGACAGAGGACAGTCTCTGCCCACTGGTATTTGTGGCCTGACACATAAATAATTACTGCCAATTGCTGAGCACTTTGTATTGGTAAGGCACTGTGGTGGATTGCTCTGTTGTTAAAAAGAATTTGTTGCCTTTCTTTACGAGGGTCCTCCCTTCTGTAGGAGGATGATATTTCCCACTTTGTTGACATCAGGTTTGGACACTTGGCTTTCCTTGACCAATAAAATGTGAGAGGAAGTGACATGTTCCTTGTTTGAGCAGATGTTTTAAATTCCATCTTGTGGTTTTGCCAGTGGCTTTTTTTCCTGTCATGGAACCAGTATACCTTAGCTAGAGCCAGTCCCAGAATGATGGTGCCTTCAGATTGGGTCCCAGAATGATGGAGCAGAGCTGAAGCCGATCCGTGACAGAAATTATTAACATAAGTGAGAAATAAACCCTTGTGTTGTAGGCACCATGATTTTGGAGTCATTTGTTAACACTGTAACATAATACATCCCAAACTCAGTGTGATGCTAAACATCAATCGAGGTACTAGATAAGACACGGAAGAAGATGTAGGCGTTGTCCTCAAGGAGAGTGCAGTTTTGGTGAATGCATTCAATTTCCACAGGTTATTGGTAGTTGGGGAAAAGGAGAATATACGTATGGAAAGGACTTTGAAGTTGGGACTCCTTGCTGACCTTCACCTCAGCCCTAGGCTGAATCAGTCAATGTGTTGACTAGGTCTGTGATCCAGCTCCTCACTGTTAAAACTTCTTATCATTCAAAATTTGATCAGCATGGTTTTCTAAATCCTCATTCAAATCACCTTTTGTAAAAAAAAAAAAAAAAAAAAAGTGTAAGAGGATGGGCTTCTACAGATGGTCAGCAGAAACTTCTTTCATAAATTTATTAATCAGCATTCACTAGGTAACCTAAGAATCTACCTAGTTGAGGGGCGCTGAGTGGCTCAGTCGTTAAGCGTCTGCCTTCGGCTCAGGTCATGATCCCAGGATCCTGGGATCGAGCCCCGCATCAGGCTTCTTGCTCTGCAGAGAGCCTGCTTCTCCCTCTCCCCCTCCCCCTCCTTGTGTTCCCGCTCTCGCTGTGTCTCTCTCTGTCAAATAAATAACATCTTTAAAAAAAAGAATCTACCTAGTTGAACTGTTTCACCAACATATCCAGAAAAATACGAGGTCCTAGGTTCCATGTCAGTCGTGTTTATAAGCATTCAGATTTCCCATTACCACAGCTATGCGTACATCTCACTTTGCATGGGGATATTAGAGAGACAAAGCCCAGGGTGGGATTCTGCGAAGAATTTCCTCACTGTGAGAAGCTAAGGAATATATGCCCAGGGTTCAGGGAAGTACTTGAAATCCTTGAAATAATTACATGTAAAATTTTATGTGAATATACATCGTTGTGGGGTGTAGTGCTCATCACATTCTCAAAGGGAATCGTGATTCCCCTGGAAGGTTATAAGCCCTGTTGCGGGTTGAGAATGGAAGTCAAACCAGGATCTGGAGAGTGCCAGGATATAAGAGACAGGTGGGGCGAGAACCCAGAAGGGACCCCAAGAAGGAATCACTGGAAAGGGTTGAGGACCAGGAGCAAATACGATGTTACAGAAGCTGGCTCCTTCTTTATCATATTTTTAAAAAAAAATCTGTTCTAGAATTTTGCATGAATTCTACATGCATCTTCATGGTATTTCTTTTATGATTCCTTAGAAGTTACCAAACTTGGAGATATATGTAATGTCTTAGGATATGATTTTTCTTGATCTATAAATACAAATTTAAAGCAATTCCTTCTTCTTTTTCTGTCTCCTTTTTATTTTGGGCTTCAGTTACTTTTTTTCTTTTTTTTCCCCTTAATCCTTTTTTACCCTTCCCAGATTAAAGATCATTCTTCTTGTTTAAAAAGGCTGACTCAAGATGGGAATGAAGCAGTCTTTTAGGTTATCTGTAGACAATTGATCCCAAGTAAGGAAACCTGCCTTTGTTATTCTTTAAGTCTTCAAAATTTTCCTTAGCGCTTCTAACAAATGTCTACCTTTTTAAAACAACTTTATTGAGATATAAATTGTTAACACAGTAAATTGAACATATTGAACATATACAGTCTGATAAGCCTTGACATATATGTATGCCTATAAAACCATCACCATTGGGACGCCTGGGTGGCTCAGTCAGGCTGCCTTCAGCTCAGGTCCTGATCCCAGGGTCCTGGGATCAAGTCCCGCATCAGGCTCCCTGCTCAGCGGTATATGTACACATACAGCTCCCTCTGCTTGTGCTCCCTCTGCTTGTGATCTCTCTGTCAAATAAAATATATTTTATGGGGACAGAGGGGACCCTCTGTCAAATAAATAAAATCTTAAAAAAAAAAAATCACATTCAAGATACTGAACATATCCATCACCCCCAGAAGGCTCTTAATAATGTCCCCCATTTCTCTCCAGGCAACCACTATTCGTTTTCCTTCACTTACATTCGTTGGCATGTCCTAGAATAAAGTTCATACTCTTTTTTTGGTCTACCTTCTTTCCCCAGCATGATTATTTTGAGAATTATCCATTGATAGTTTATTCCTTTTTTATTGCTAAGTAGGATTCTGTTGTATGGATATACTGGAGTTTGTGTGTCCATTCACCTCTCAATCGATACTGGGTTATTTCTAGTTTTTGACTGTTAAAAATAGAACTGCCATGAACATCCACATACATGTCTTTGGATGGATGTATGCCCTCACTTCTCTTGGGTAAATACCAAAGAGTGGAGTGGATGAACCAATCATATGGTAGGGGTGTGTGTGTGTGTGTGTGTGTGTGTGTGTGTGTGTGTGTGTGTGTGTAGAGTGAGAGATTTTAAGAAATCAGATCACACGATTGTGGGAGTTAGAGTGAGAGATTTTAAGAAATCAGATCACATGATTGTGGGAGTTAGCAAGTCCGAAATCCACAGGCCAGGCCAGCAGGCTGGAACCTCAGGCAAGAGAGTTGATGTTCCAGTCCTGAGTCCAAAGTCTGTAGCCTACGCCAGCAGGCTGGAAATTCAGGCAGAATTACTATTCCCATTTTGAGGCAATAATTTTGTCACTTTCTCCAAACAAACGAAAGCACTGTTCCAAGCTCTAGAATTATAGGAGTAAAAAAGATAAGCAAGGTTCCTGCTCTTTTAAAGTTGCTTTCCTGGCAGGTTATGACAGGAGAGGCAGGCCGCAAACAAGTAAAGGAATAAACAAACCAAATAATTTCAGGTTGTGATAAGAGCTATGAAGAAAATGAAGGAGATGTGACAAAGAATTCCTGGGGTGGGGAGCCCACTTCTGAGAAGGCCGCCGGGAAGACCTCTTGGAGGGAGTGGTGTTTCAGTAGAAACCCCAGAAGGATTCGAAGGAACCAGGTATGTGATCTACATGGAAACGTGTCTGGCAGAGAGAAGAGCGAGTGCACAGCCTCTAAAGTGGGGAAGAGTTGGCACATTGGAGTTGCTGAGACAGAAGCCTGGAGATGCTGCTGGAGAAGAGAGAAGAGCAGTGTGTGTAGTGTGTTACAGGCCACAGTAAGGAGATTGGATTTTATTCTAAGTGCAGTGGGAAGCCACGGGAGGGTTTTAAGAAAGAAAGTGACATGTATATTGGATGGAAATGTTCCATGGACCTTTGGAAACATTAATCTAGCTGAGCCAGCTATATACGTTAGCGTGACTTGGATTTCTCGTTGCCCAAGAAACATTAAACTACTTATTTTTCCTGATATAAAAATCCTAACCAGATTCTATCAAAGCCAAGCCTGTGTTATCTAAAGCAAATACTATTTAAATCTTTTTTTCACTAAGATTTTTTATGCACTTGTATGTATTTTCAAAAATAGTGTTTTCTGGATTTTTTTCTTTTATAAGTACGTGTGGCAGTTGACTAGCAGCTGTAAAGAGCACAACTTTGGTTTCAGGTATGAGCGTAATTATTGACCACATGGAAGCATTTGATAAATATTAACAGATCTTTATATATGATTTCATCATAGAATCATGGAATTGTTGAGCCGAATGGACCTTAAGAATTATTGAATCTTAATTCCTTTCATAGAGGAGGCAGTTTCGATCCAGAGAGGTTAAATGGGTCACATGTAAACACATAAAATAAAATTTAAAATAAGCCTGGTTTTTATTATCCCCCAGTTGCGGGATGAGAGATTCTTGAGGCCAAATATGGAACAGGGAAAAGACTGTGACATCAGTTTGCTTTTACATTTGCTGCCTTCTTCTCTGTTGCTTATTTATTTTACATCTATGCTTCTTTATACTTATCCCTGGACTGAAGAAATTGAGATGAATCAGACAGGCCCTCTCTTAGTATGGAAACAGACAAGAAAACAAACGGTTGCCATATACATTAAATGCCACTAGAAGACAAGCTTAGTGTGTTGTGGGTGTAAGTGATGTGCGTGTCTGTTGAATGACTCTTAAGTTTGGAGTCTGTTTACCTGCACGATTGAGTGCCTGGCCCCTTGTGTAGTATATACTGTGTTGCCTCTGCTATTTGGCCTTTCCTGTGCTCTTTTGCTGCCCAGCCATAGCCCTGGGCTAAACTTAAGCCAATTTGAAGGCCATATGTCAGACCATATCTGACCAGTAAGACTTGTCTTGACAGCTCTGCTCCAGCCACTTGAGAGCACTGAGACCTCAGGATGTACCCGTGGCCAGTGATAAGCCACCATGACAGCATGTCTTATTTTGAATAGAAACCCATTTAAAGATGAATTTAAGAGTACGTGATCTTATATTTCTCCTCTCAAGTGAGCAGATTTCATTAATTCTTAATTTTGAAAAATTTTTAAAGGAAATAGGAACATCGATTTTTTTGTTTATTTTGACTCATTTACCTTTTTACTATATTTGGGGGATGAGGTGGCCATTCCTAAGAAAACTGGCACATGAAGTTCATGGTTGATGTTCTAACATGTTCTGAATCTTAAAGCCCCCAAAATGCATTGAGAGAACAGGTAAATAAAATAGCACTGCTGTAATTAAAGGAGAAACAGTAGTTTCCTTTTAAACCTTTCTCTTTCAAGAGCTTATAATTTTCTGTATAACCCAGACACTGTCCTGTGGGCAGGTATGTTTTATTTTTGCCCTTGATTCTTTAATATAAAGTTTGATTAAAAAGGAAAGATAGTAACTTTTTGTCTCCCAAATGAAGAATGGTCATATTTGCAGGGTTGGTTTGTTTGTTAATAAGATGGAGTTCCATACCCCTGAGCCTGCTGTAGTTTGAAGAATAATATCAGTATCTTTTATCTACGAGAAATATCTGTGACATTGTGTGTGTGTGTAAAATCAAAACCTGCAAATATACATTGGCAAGAATATTAGATAATTCCTGATGACTGTATTATGTTTTCACAGAATATTAGAAAACAGGCAGTTTTGACAGTCTATTATAGTAGGTGATCAGGCATTCTCCATCTCTTAGGTCATATGAGGATAAAATTATCCATCTCCATTATCTCCCAGACCTTATGAGGAAGAAAGGTAGAATTTTAGACATGTGAACTAAAAAATTGGACTGAAGTTAGCAGTCTAAAAATGATAAAACCAAGTTGTTTGCATAACTGTGTCCCCCCCCCCCTTTATTTTGTGTAGATGGAGAAACAACTATAGAGGCATTTTCTGTGGAAGATGAATAAAGCTATTTATCATGAATGATTTTAGCTTGTGTAGAAAACATCTCCAGCTGCACTAAATATAAAACTGTCAGCTCTCCAAAGGTGTCTGCAATTATTACTCATCTTACTTGACAGAGCAGGCCTGTGGCATGTGTGAGAACGGGCTCTGGAGCCAGGCTGCAGGGTTCAGAGCCTGGCCCATCAGCTACTGTGTGGTTCTGGGCAGACTGCTTTCTGTCTCATACTCTTCATTTACGAAACAGAATAATACCAGTACCTACCTAACGGGGCCGTTAGGAGGATTAGATGTGTTAATGCACATGGCCCACTAAGAACGCTGCTACAAACAGAGTAAGCACCAGATGAGTGTTAACAGTTCTTATTATTGGTGCATGGCTATAATACATTTAAGTGGCTGCTTTTATTGGTCAAGTTTTCACAGGGAATTTGGCATTTGAACTAGGCCTTGATGGATAAACAGGATTCATAAAAGGGAAATAGAAAGAATTGAACATGGGAAAAGCTGTGTGAACAAAATGAAAGAGGAGGTAAAGAATCTGTTTCTCTTCTTTTCTCCTTCCATTTATTGCATATTAGCTGTGTGCCTGCCCCCGAGCTCTGCATTTGGGGAACGTTACATTATCTCAGTCAGTCCTCACAATAACCCTACAGGATAGATATTTTCAATTCTCATTTTACAGATGGGAAAGTAGCCACAGAAAAGTAAAGTCACTTTCCCAGAGTCACAA